CTGATTTGTACTTATTGCCATTTTGTTAATTGTTTTTGGTTGTTTTTTTGTTCTTCTGTGTTCCTTCTTTTCCTCCTTTCCCTTGTGATTTGATGACTTTCTTTAGTGTTGTGTTTGAATGCCTTATTTTTTGAGTATCTATTAAAGGTTTTTGTTTGTGATTACTATGAGGTTTACATATAATACTCTATGTGTATAGCAGTCTGTATTAAGTTGATGGTTGCTTAAGTTTGAACGCTTTCTAAAAGCACTACATTTTTACTCTCCCTCTCCCTGTTTTATGTTTTTGACATCATGTTTTGCATCTTTTTATCTTGTGTATCTCTTAACTGTCATAGATATCATTCACTTTACTACTTTTGTCTTTTAACCGTCATACTCTCTCTCTTTGTAACTTAATCTCCCACGGCTGGCATATGCTTGCTGTTACAGTTAGATTTTTTTCTTTCAAAATTTTCTTCTAGTTAGGGCCTTTTCTACTTAAATCCCTTTAACATTTCCTGTAAAGCTGGTTTAGTGGTGAACTCTTTTGTCTGGGAAACTCTTTTATCTCTATCTACTTCAGTCCTGAATGATAACCTTGCTGGGGAGTGTTTCTCTTTGTGGGTTTTTTCCCTTCAGCGCTTTGAATATGTTGTGCCACTCCCTTCTGACCTCCAAATTTGGTGAAAAATCAACTGATCGTATTTCGGGTGTTCCCATGTACGTAACTAGTTGCTTATCTCCTGTTGCTTTTCATATTTTCTCTTTAATTTTTGAGTTTTAATTATTTTGTGTCTTGGTATGGACCTCTTTGGGTTCATCTTGTTTGGGGCTCCTTCCTTTTTGGACATGGATATATTTTCTTGTTGAGGTTAGGGACGTTTTCAGTTGTAACTACTTCAGATAAGATTTCTGCCCCTTTCTCTTCCTCTTTTCTTTCTGGGACCTCTGTAATGCAATTGTTATTACCCTTGATCTCTTAAGGTCCTGAAGGTCTCTTAAACCGTCTTCAGTTTTTGAAATTCTTTTTTCTTTTTGCCATTCAGCTAGGGTCATTTCCATTACCCTGTTTTCCAGATCACTGATCCAATTTTCTGCATCTTCTAATCTGCTGTTGATTCTCTCTCGTGTATTTTTCAACTCAGTTATTATATTCTTTGTCTCTGGTTCCCTTTTTATCTTTTTTTTTTTTTTTAATCTTTTGAAGTTCTTCCTGTGTTCATCCATTCTTCACCTGAGTTTAATGAGCATCTTCGTGACCATTACTTTGAACTCTTTATCGGGTAGATGGTTTATCTCTTTTTCACCGAGTTTTCTGAGGTTTTGTCATATTCCTCGGTCTTCCCATCTTGCCTCTCTATGTTTGCTTGTGTGTATTAGGTAGATCAGCCATGTCTGTTCTTGAGCGAGAGGCCTTCTGTAGAAGGTGTACTGTGGGGCCCAAAAGTGCATTCTCCCGCTGGTCACCAGAATCCGGAGCTCCAGTGGTGTCCTTTGTGTGTTTCCTTCTGTTCTGGCTGAGCTGCAACTGTTGTGGGCCCATGGTGGGTGGGAGCCCCTTTAGGGGAATGACAATGAAGGTGGAGGTGACCTGGTGAGTGTGATAAGGTGGGAGCCACTTTGGGGGCTGCCTGCCAGGGAGGGGAGGGTTAAGTGGGGCAGGTCTGCAGGGGAATATGAGGGTGGGGCTAACAGTGCTAGCAAGGTAGAGGAGGATCGGAACTGTTTCTTGGGGCGCCTGGATGGCTTAGTGGGTTAAGCATCTGATTCTTGATTTCGGTTCGGGTCACGATCTCACTGTTGGTGGGTTCACACTCCGAATCGGGCTCTGCATTGACAGTGCAGAGCCTGCTTGGGATTTTCTGTCTCCCTTTCTCTCTGCCCCTCCTGGGCTTATGCTTTCTCTCTCTCTCAAAAATAAATCAATAAACTTAAAAAAAATAAAAGAACTGTTTCTCACCAGTACTAAGCACCTGCCACTGCTTCCATTCGTGGAGGAAATTCCTGCAGTTTCCTGCACCTCTGGCACATGCCCTAAAGTTAGTCAGTAAATCTCCTTCACGTATGGCCCAGATGCTTTTCAAACTGTTGCCTCTGCGCTGGGTCTTGGAGTGAGTAGGTGCGTGAGTCTTTTACGAGTGGAGTCTCGGTTTCTTATCGCCCTCTGGCTCTTGTGGGATTAAACCCTGCTGATTTTCAAAGCCAGACATTTGGGGGGCCCATCTTCCCAGTGCGGGTCCCCAGTGCAAGTTTGCCCCATGGAGGGCTTGAACCCCTCACTCCTCAGGGAGGACCCCCCTACGTGTGATATCCCTCCCGCTTGTGGGGTGCCATGCTGGGGTGTGGGTCCTGATCACACCATTTCTCTGCCCCTCCCATGCTCCTTGACGTGACCCTCTGTGGCTATAGAGGGTCTGTTCTGCTAGTCTTCCGGCCATTCTCAGAGAGTTGTTGTGTATGTAGTTGTAGCCTCGGAGTGTCTGGACGAGGTGAGCTCAGCATCCTCCGGTCTGCTGTCTTGATCCTCGCAGAAGCAGTAGTTTCTTTCTTTAAATAGGCCTGCACAGCATCATATTTTCCTTTGAAGGTAAGGGTCATTTTAATTACATTCTTAGCTGACAAGAGAAAGTTAAAGGATTAAAAGAAAAGCCTCTATTTTTAGAAGCTGAAATTGGAACCATGCTTTTGGCATTGATGGCGAAGAGGAGCCTGGTAATTTAGGACATGAGGCTTTATATTCTCTCTGGGTCCTTCAGTTCACGGTCCTATTTTTAGAAGTAGCTGGTTTTTATGCCTGCCTCAAGAGTCATCTGTAGTGGAATGCAGTCAGTTTTTTAAAAAGAACTTAGAAATAGTAAAATAGTTTAGATGTTGTCAGTTCACAGTTGAATAACTTGATATAGCAATTGGAAAGTATGATACTGGAAGAAAGAATAAGGTACAGCTGTGCATCCTCAAATAAGAGAGAAGAATCAGAACCGTTGTGGGTGACTGACTTCCATGTGAGCTGAAGAAAAATCCTCTGAAACACTTCAGAATAAAAAAATTAAGAAATGGGTTTGATGGCACCTGTGGCTAATATAAATTAAACCATGTACCTTTCCCCCCTTATTAATGTGTCTGTGCATGTTTTGAGTGTATACCTTTCTTAGTCATTAAGGATTTCATCACAACCCTAGCTTTTTAAGACTTTTTTGGATAACTCATGTCTGAGTTATAATAGTAACAATCATCTATCAAGAATTTTTCTTCAAGACCCAGACTTTTCCCAATTTTGGCATCACATCTCTCCTATTTAGCATTCTTTGCTCGTTTCTTTTTTTTTTTTTTAATTTTTTTTGATGTTTTATTTATTTTTAAAACAGAGAGAGACAGAGCATGAGTGGGGATGGGGCAGGGAGAGAGGGAGACACAGACTCTGAAGCAGGCTCCAGGCTCTGAGCTGTCACAACAGAGCCCGACGCGGGGCTCGAACTCACGAACTGTGAGATCATGACCTGGGCTGAAGTCGGACGCTCAACCGACTGAGCCACCCGGGCGCCCCTCTTTGCTCATTTCTAAGAAATTAGCTTTGCTTTTAAATTACTCTGAAGATTTTATGATAGGACATCTGTCTTGAGAATACTCTCTCTCTTTGTTATATGTAGTATTTCAACATGAAACACAACATGTTCCCACCCCCCCTGCTGCAGACATTGTTTTGCCCTCCTCTTTGAGGGACCTGTTGCCTAATAAGCCTGTCACTTGGCTTTGGTGAGGAGGTAGATGGGAGATAAGGGAGACAGCCCTTGTGAGAGGTGAGCTGGTAAACCTCGGAGAACTCCAAGCTTATCAGTAGATGCAAACCGCAAAGCATGTTCTCTTTATGCAAACTCCGACTTAGCACCAGCTATATTCTTTGTTAGAGATTGTACCGGCAGCTTGTGAGCGAAGTACTCTATCTCCCCACATATGGCACAAGGCGTTGCCTCAGAGTTCCCCCTGCCTGCTGAGCACACTTCCTGTTAAGACCTGAACGCCCACCCACCCGGTGAATCACTCTAAGTATATGGATGAGAGAATGCCCTGCTTTCGTTTATTATCACCAGGGGATATTGTCTTTGGTTCAATTCACTTGCCTCTTTCCACTATGTGTGCAAGTGGATAAAATCATACCAGATGACTGGCTGCTGAAAGTATGATTTTATTTGATTTTGACATTTGCTGTTTGTAAACATAAGCCCTTGTTATCAGATTAGAAAGGATGAAAATGATCCTGCAGATACTCAGTATCAACAAGAATGAAAGGAACTGAACATTGTCTGACCTTCACTTTGGTGGGAGGGACAGATTGGTAAAGTCTTTCTAGGGGCGGTTTTATAGTAGATGTTTAAATTTAAAATACGTGTGCTCTTGGACCCAACGGTTCTACTTCTAAATGTATATGAGAAAATAGTGGGCAGGTGGGAAAAGATACACGTATAACAACTTTAACTTTTATAATAGCAAAGGGAAAAGGAAGGGAAACAAGTATTTTTCAACAGAGGATTAAATTATAGCACTTCATACAAGGGAATATCATGATACCGTTAAAAAGGACATTTCACGTTTGCAGGTATTGGCACTGAAAACCATTTATCATACACTGCTGGATGAGAAAAGGTTACAGAACACTGTTGTAGCATGATCCGGCTTTTGTTTTTATAATGTGCATTTATGGGTGTATGTTTTAAAGTCTGATATTGCACGAAATTGCTATTTACGCTCGTTATTTTTTGTGGGAGGAAGAGAATAACTGGTGTCTCTCAGTTCTAATTTGTACATTTCTGTATGGTTTTACGTTTTACATAAACTTGTATTGCTTCCATAGTCAAAATAGCCAAGATATTTACATGGTGAAGAACAAAGGAATATCTGCCTTCAGAGTAGTATAGCACTGCGTCCTTCCTGGGCTGTCTTCACAGCATTTGAAAAAGTATATCATGCCATGAGCAATCTCAGATCCGTTTTATGTAGCTTGGCACCATTTGCCTTCACAGTGAGAAGATTGCTCACCTCTGGCATCGTGATTCAGGTGTTCCCGCTGCATGATAATGAAGCCTTGAAGAAACTGGAGGACGCCTGGTACACTCGCTTTACCCTCAAGTGTCAGCCCATAGGTACGTGTGGAGGGAGGTCATGTGATTTGGCGCCTGGGGCCATGAGCACCCTTTCCCCTGCCCCCTCCATTGTTGGGCTATCCTTTAACCCGACTCAGATTAGAGGGGGCCCTGTCATACTGACTCTTTTAACGTGTTCCGGCCTTAGTTAGGAGAACAAGGTTAGGGCAAAAGAGCTTATCCCAGTGTTCTCCGACCCACCTCCATCGACCGATCTGACACGTTACCTTAAAAAAAAACAAAAAACGTTTTAACGGCATGGAATTAACCAAGACGTAATAGCCCCGTTACTGCACCACCCCAGCCCCTGCATCCCACCCTGGGCCCAGCGCTGGATGCTTTCGCCAGCCCGGCACTCACTCGAGTAGATACAGCCGGCAAAGGATGATCGTGTTTGCGACCGCTTTTGAGTTAGCTTGTGTGGCGTTCACAGAATATTAACAGTGATGTTGCTTGTCCCTTCTTTTGCCCAGTGCTTATCTGAAGGTAATAGATACGTCAGTTCCCATGGCTGTTCTAGAAGTTAATGTGTAGAATATTGTTCTGCGCTTTTGAATAACTTTTTTGCAGTGTGCTGAAAAATTTGCCATGATACATTGATGAAAATTTACAGTTTTGGATAGTGGGAGCAGACACTGTGGATGGGAAGGCTTCTTTGAAAAGAACATCTACAACTGTGATATTGAAGTGGGAGTAAGGTGGGGAGCATAAATTTAAACCCCCAAATGAAAATGGTTCATTGGCTACGGCTGGATTGAAACTAGGACCTTGGGGATTTGGGACAAGCCCCGAGGTGGGTTTTCCTTTGGGAAGAAGGCATCCATCAGCTGGGGAAGCGAAGGGAAGACAGTCCCAGGGTGCCTGGAGAGCAGCCATCGCAGCTGTGGCCTGGGCTCTGAGCTGGGGAAGGCGTCAGGCTTGCCGTCCAGACAAGCGCGGTCTTTGTGGTGCACGGAAGACGGGTTGACCATCACGCACTGATTGGGAGACGAGGGTATGAAATGATCCCCACGTACCTAAAAAAACAAACGGTGAAAGCCGTTGGTAGTCTGTACTTAAGTTTTTTTTTTTCTCCTTTTTATTGTAGACCATATTCGTGGCTACTTCGGGGAAACAATTGCTCTTTACTTTGGATTTTTGGAATATTTCACTGTTGCCTTAATCCCCATGGCGGTCATTGGGTTACCTTACTACTTATTTGTATGGGAAGACTATGACAAGTACGTGATCTTCGCCTCCTTCAACCTCATCTGGTCCACAGTGATCCTGGAAGTGTGGAAGCGTGGCTGTGCCAATATGACCTACAGGTGGGGGACACTTGTCATGAAGAGACAGTTTGAGGAGCCCCGGCCAGGATTCCATGGGGTCCTGGGCATCAATCCCGTCACCGGCAGGAAGGAACCTCTGTACCCCAGCTACAAGAGGCAGTTGCGCATTTACCTGGTCTCTCTGCCGTTTGTGTGCCTCTGCCTCTATTTCTCTCTGTATGTCATGATGATTTACTTTGACCTGGAGGCCTGGGCCTTGAGTCTGCACGAGAATAGTGGATCCGAGTGGACCAGTGTCCTGTTGTATGTGCCCAGCATCATCTATGCCATTGTGATTGAGATCATGAACCGCCTCTATCGATACGCTGCTGAGTTCCTAACTTCGTGGGGTAAGACTTGATGCTTGCACCTATGCCTTGTCTGCCTATCAGAAACGTTGCTTGGCTCATAGGATTCCTATCACTGCTGCCTGGCAAAGCAGGGAGGTATGGCTCTGGGTGCACTCTCGAGACTGGGGGAGGGGTTCGTCAGTTTTGTGGGCTCTGTGTCCCTCAGCTCCTGGTTATCGTGGCACTCACTTGGTGCTAGTTACTGCACTCCAGGTGCCCGGCTGGCTCTTCGTCCATGGTGTCTCATTTTCACCTCCTCAGGACGCCATGAAATGGAAGTTTGTTTATCTTCAGGGATAAAGACACAGAGAGTTAGCAAGATTCAGACAGATTGTAGAGCCAGGCTAACCCAGACTCTGTGTCCAAAACCTGTGATCCCAATGCCATAATTTGGTATTTTCCGTTGAGGAAAAAGTAGATTGAATTACCTTCAGATACTTTGGCCAAATGAACAACGTTCATAGGACCGAGGGTGGCCATTGGCCTGCGTGTAGCGGGTACCCTTGTATGTATCTGTGGTAGAAGGAAGTGGGCATGGTTTGAAAATGCTCTGGATAGGCCATTTGCTCTGGAGTTATTCACTCAAACAAGTAAATATGCAGTGCGATTTCCTATGAAGAAGTCTATGCCTTAATTTCATGGACCATAAAGATGTTTTAAATTATTTTTGTCAGTCTTTTAGCAACTATCATCCATGGAGTCCTTTCCGTGTGCTGTTACTGGACTAAGGTTTTGTATTATTTATTGTCCCGACAGTGACCCTGGGAGAAGCGGGTATCCGCCTTGTTTTTGTAGCGAGGAGGCTGAGTATCGGGAGGCTCAGTGACTTGCCAAGGACAGACAGTGGCTGAATAGCTGAGTTGGGGTTCCAGTACAGGCGAGCCTCACACCGCCTCTCTGCAGGGTGACACTTCTCTTCAGGAGCGTCTTTGCCCTGCCGTCTGGGGGCCAGGACTGTGTCTCCTTTCCGTAGCTCAGGAGGGAATTTTGAGTTGCTCTTTAAGTGAATCCTTGTAAGGCATGTGGACAGACACTTTATCACCCTCTTCAGAGGTTGCGGTCAGTTTCACTGTGGCCACTTGTTCAGGGTCTTTTTCTGGGTGGCTGTCTGTGGGATCGTTTGCCAACACCTCCCACGATTCTTTGTTGCAGTAATACTTTAAGAAGAATTCCAGGGGCACCTGGGTGGCTCAGTGGGTTAAGCACCCGACTCTTGATGTTGGCTCAGGCCATGATCTTACAGTTTGTGGGTTCAAGCCCCGTGTCAGGCTCCGCGCTCGTGGTGTAGAGCCTGCTTGGGATTCTTTCTCTCTCCACCCCTCCCCCACTCTCTCGTTTCTCTCTCAAAAATAAATAAATAAACATTTAAAAAAAAATTTCAGAACACAGTGCTCTTGTGGTACTGTGGAAAATGTGTCCTAATCTTCGTTTCTCCCTGTGCGATGTTCTTGAGGATAAGCGGCAGCCGTGATTGACAGTCTGGCACGTTTACTCACCGAGGCTCCGTTGCCTGATGTCTCTGCCTCAGCACATCTGCCTTTACCCCACGACAGCCCACCATACCGCTTTCTTATCTGAGAGAAATTTCCTCTCCTGTTTCCTTTTGTAGAGAATCACAGATTGGAATCTGCCTACCAGAATCATCTAATTCTGAAAGTTTTAGTGGTGAGTAGAGTTTTTATGTACAAATCCATTTGAATTATGAAGCTTATGTATACTGGTTAATACTTAGAAATATAAATATGAAAACTGGTTTCTAATTTAAGATATCAGATGGTTAATATATTTTGTACAGGTAGGCAGGATTACGTGTGCTTACATATATGTTCATTGCTCTTACTACAAATGTGCACGTGGTGTAAGACTTCAAGTATAGAAATTAGTAGGGTAGCCAATTTCTAGTTATTTAAAAAACTATTTAAGCACATCACAGACATGTTTCTTTTTCCTTTTGGTGACTTCTTTGCTTCACTATTTAACAATTCTCTCAGTTGCCCACAGTCTGTTTAGTGATGGACCATTAACTTTTTTTTCCTTTTTTTTTTTTTTTTTACTTTTTGAAAGAAATTTCTAAAGTCTAATAGGTTCCCAGCATGTTTTGGTGGGTGGGAGGGAGGAAATGGAGAGAAAGCGTAGCGTAACCTGCTTGCTGTTTGTGTAAAAGCTCACACATTTTGCCCTTTTCCCACTATTATTATGAAAAAGAAGTACCAGCTTGGTAGCACTTGATTTATCAGGAGCTTACCGCAGCCATTGGTAGCATGACTGAGGATCGAGAAAGCCGTAGAAAGAGTCCTCTGACCTCTCGACTGGACCACAGTCCGTGTATCTTACTCCCAAGAAAGGGTTCCGGAGAAAAGAGTTTCTGTTCCAGCCAAGAAATCATTGTCAGAAGCTTGTTATCTGGTTGTTCAGGCCTCAAGAGATCACAAAGCCCTGACAGGAAGGTGCTTAGGTTTATGGGAGTAGGTCTGATTATAGAGGCAAATGTGGCAAGTAAAATACAGCATTTTTTATAAATAGGTAATGCAAAACGAACAGTTTTAGCAGTTTGGACTTTAGAAAAGGGGCAAGCAGCCATGCATCTCTAAAAAGTCTTTGAAGGCCTCATTCTAGCACTGAGAGATGCTTGATGTGCAGAATGCTGGTGCCGTCTGGCTGGCCTGGCGTCTCTCCGTGGGGCCCGGTGGGCCAGGCCTTGCCGGGAAGGAAGCACATCCTTCGGCAACTCAGTGTTAGCGAGGAGTCCGGGTGGACCCCGTTGCCAGGTCCGCAGGGCTCCTCAAGTGAACGGGGGGTGGGGGGGTGGGCAGAGGTGAGGTGGGCAGGGAGCGAGCCCGCCCAGGCCATCCGGCTTGCCAGTGGGGGCTGGGAAAGGCTGGGCCTCGCTCTTCCTCTTCTGTTAGAATGTAGCAGAAATGTGCGGGTGCTCCGCTGTTCCGCTGTTCCGCTGTTCCCTCGGGCCGTGGGTCCCAAACCAGTCCAAGCTGTTGGCAGCTGTCAGAGGTCTCCTCTGCTCGCCTCTTGCGGTATTTCCAGGGTTTCTGGATGTGCTTAGTGAGGAGGAGCAGGAGAAACAAGTCTGCCATCTGGTGAGGGCTGGAAGTCCCTCGTTACATTGTTAATGCTGTACTTACAACTGTAATAAAGTACCGTAAAGCAGTGTGAAATGTTGCCGTCTTTTTCTTGGCAGTTCAACTTTCTGAATTGCTTTGCCTCCCTCTTCTACATCGCCTTTGTCTTGAGGGATATGAAGCTGTTGCGTCAGGTGAGTGTGAAAAGCAGGAAGTCTCAGTCTTGTAGGTTTCAGAGGTCCTTTCCTGTATTCAGATAACAATATTATTGTTATGGATAAAATCTGACATTTTGTATATTTCTAAGCCAATTCTAAGTGAAAAACCATTAGCAATTGCACTGTATATCGTACTCAACTGAAAACAAATTCGTTGAAGCTAACCAACTTGTAAAATTAATCATGCGGTACAGGAAAAACACATATATAGTTCATCTCAAAGCCTGTAAAAGCAATTCTAATGGAAAGTATTCCTTAATTGAAGTTTGTGTGTGTGTGTGTGTGTGTGTGTGTGTGTGTGTGTGTGTGTGTCAGAGTGAGAGGTGATTGATACAACCTTAAATAGGTCTTTCCCATTTCATTTTTAAATGGATATGTTGTTAACTTTTATAATTTTTTTTTTTATTTTAGAGAGAGAGAGAGAGCACGAGTTGGGGAGAGGGGCAGAGGGAGAGAAAGAATTGTAAGTGGGCATGGAGTTAGGCATGGGCTCGATCCATGACCCTGGGATCATGACCTGAGCCCAAATCAAGAGTCAGATGCTTAACTGACTGAGCCACCCAGGTGCCCCAAGAGTCTCTTTTTTTAAACAGGAGATGAAGGACAAGGAGATGGGGGAGGACTTTTAGAATAATGCACTTATAATCCTAGCAAAGGTAGTATGTGATGGAAACACTCCTATCCATCTGGGGTAAGTGGAAATTGACACAGCACTTCTAGAAGCCGCTAGCGCAGCTTTGCCAAGAACCACAGTCCATCCTCAGTAAGCCACCAGAGACAGGGCGAAGATTCGTGTACACAGGTATCCGAAGAGCAGCATGTGTAATAGTGAAGGTTGGGAACGATACAGTCAACAGCAGTACGTGGGCTGCTTGTATTTTACGTGTGATTGGAAAGAAATATCCTAAGATGTTAGCAGAGGTTCCATCATGGTTGTGGAATTATGGGTGGCTTTTTTACTACTTTCTAAGCTTATACGATGAAGGAAGGTATATTTATTTTATAAGTTTTTTGAAGTTTCGCCAAACTTTTTTATTTTTCAGAGTTGGCAATATCACTTAGATTATTATGTTGTAGCAAGGATGAGATGACAAAAAACAATTTCAAATTAAATTGTTCCCTTGCCAGCTCATTACTGATTTCATTTCTTATTATAATCTTATTTATAACTGATTTATTTCTTATTATAATCTTACTTATAACTTTTTGTATTTTAATGTGTTTTTCCTGTGGGAAAAAACAATAAATTGGAAACATTATTCTAGCACCTCGCTTTTCTGATATTAGTTGTGATATTAATGGTATGCTATTTGTTGAAGATTCCATTTTATTTATTGCATAATTATACACATACTGTGATTTTACTAAGCTCCATTGTCAGATCTTACTTGTCTGCTTCTTTTTAGAGTCTGGCCACTCTCCTGATTACCTCCCAGATCCTTAACCAAATTATGGAGTCTCTTCTTCCTTACTGGCTCCAAAGGAAGCACCACGTGCAGGTGAAGAGGAAGGTGCAGGCTTTGAAAGCGGACATCGATGCTACATTGTACGAACAGGTTGTCCTGGAGAAAGAAATGGGAACCTATCTGGTAAGTGTGAATATTGCCGAATTAACCATTGAGTAAAAGCGAGTAGCAGTCAGGCACTGAGCTTCACAAGAGTGGACCCGCTCGCTGGCCCAGATGTGGCTACTTTGGAAGTGCTCTCCTGCCAGCGTCCGCGCCAAGAGCTCCTTCACCGTGAACGAGGGGGGACCGCGCCTTCGGTGTTGCCGCCCTCAATCTGAAGTTAAGCCTCAGGACAGCAGGGGGCAGGTTCGGCCGGCCGTGTCACTGCTTCCCCCCGCCCCCCCAGGACGCCAGGCAACCCTTGCTGCAAAGCTGCCCCGGGCCCGGCCGGCTGTGAAGAGGCCGCGTCCTGCTCACTTGCCGGGGCTGCTGCAGACTCCTGGGGGAGGCGGAAACCCGCCGCCGAAAATGGGGCGCTGCTCTGCAGAATCCTTCCGGTTTCCCTGAGTGGTGTGGGAAGTGTCCGTGGTTCCTTCTTGATCAAGACTTTCTGAGTTCCTTTGAGGAGCTGCAAGCAGATCACTGCAAGGCTGGCCGCCTGTAACAACAGTGCAAGGAAGCACCCGGCTCTTGGAACCTGACCGTGTGTTCGCGGGAGAGGGGCTTCGGGGTCGTGCGCCCTTCGGGTCCCGGTGTCCTGTGTCCTGTGTCCTGCACCTTCCTGCGCGGAGCGGTCTGCTTCTCAGTGAGTTAGACCCTGCAGCGGCTCAGTCAGTGAGAGTCCGTTACCGTTCAACTCTCGTGGTCTTGTTTTCCGCCTTCGCGCGTCATCTTTTGACCCTCTTGGCCCACGTGCTCCTTCTTCTCGTGTGCCCGCGAGTGTTACTTGGTGTGTTCATCTTGAGGACGTGTGTCTTCCCTCTCTGCTCGCTTCTGCCTGCTCGATCTTCACAGCTGCCCCAGGGGCCTCTGTGGCTTAGCCTAAAACCAGGGGTCTGTAGCCCCGGCTCCCACCTTGTAGGGACCTTGGGGGTTTTGCAGAGCCAGTCGACACAGACTGCAGGTCAGGGTGGCAGCTGTGGCTTTTTCAGACCCCTTTCAAGGACAGGGGACCACTGTTCTAGCCCCTGGTTTTGTAAACAGCCTAGCCCCAGTAATGCTTCAGGGGAGTAGGTGCCTTTGAATCCCTCGCCCCACAGGATACAGATTGAGCCACGTCCGTTGGCCTGCGGGCTGGAGTCGGGCCAGGCTCCCGCTTACCACCTTGCGTTTTGTTCCATTTCTCACCTGTGCAGCTGTTTTTCTGGTTTTTGCGTGGTGATATGCGTCTTGATGAAATATGCATATATGCACTAGCATTTTCTGTCAGTGCTGTCTGTGGGGGGGAGTGTGATTCAAAGTATACGCACGGCACACTTGGCCAGTAACACTGCTTATGTTTGTATGTAAAGCGTCAGAGAAAACACAGGCGTGCAAGGAAGGAGCACATTTGCACCTTGTGGTGCTTCTTGCCTGTGTTGGTCGAAGGGCTGGCTGGCTGGGGCCTAAAACCTCAGTCTGTGTCTGACTCCTTTCCTTGCTTGCTCTGGGGAGCGGGATTTCTGGCCGTATTTGTTTTTCATCCTTCCCTTTCTGGTGGAAGCCGGACAAGCAGTCTTTCCCCTGAGCTCTCTCTTCCATCCCCTCCGCCTCTCCTCTTGTCTGCAAAGGCCCCTGTTCCCAGTGCCCGCCTGCAGCCGCCACATCTCCCGCTTCCCCGTCTCCCTGCCCCAGCTGTCGGCAGCCCTCCTGTCCCAAACCAGGCAAACCCGCACGCGCTTCTGCTGGTTGTGTCCTGTCTTTCCTGCCCCAGTGTCTTGAAATAATTATTTCATGTTGTCGTCTCTCCTTCCCCTCTTCTCTCCCTGTAGTCACTTAGAATCAGCTCTCATCTCTTCTTTTTCTCTGAATTATTTGGACAGACGACATCATGCCCCCAAGTGCCCCAAACCAAATTCACAGTCTTCTCCAGACCAGTTTCCCCTCCTTTCCCCCTGGCTCGCTGACTCATATACAGTAGTTCAAGCAATATGTCCCTCATCCAAGCAATTGTTTTTATTTTTTATTTTTTAAAATCTACATCCAGGGGCGCCTGGGTGGCGCAGTCGGTTAGGCGTCCGACTTCAGCCAGGTCACGATCTCGCGGTCCGTGAGTTCGAGCCCCGCGTCGGGCTCTGGGCTGATGGCTCGGAGCCTGGAGCCTGTTTCCGATTCTGTGTCTCCCTCTCTCTCTGCCCCTCCCCCGTTCATGCTCTGTCTCTCTCTGTCCCAAAAATAAATAACGTTGAAAAAAAAAATAAAAAAAAATAAAATAAAATAAAATCTACATCCAAATTAGCATATAGTAAAACAATGATTTCAGGAGTAGATTCCTTAATGCCCCTTACCCATTGAGCCCATAACCCATCTAGTAACCCTCAGTTTGTTCTCCATATTTGTGAGTGTCTTCTGTTTTGTCCCCCTCCCTGTTTTTATGTTATTTTTGTTTCCATTCCTTTATGTTCATCTGTTTGTATCGTAAATTCCTCACATGAGCAAAGTCATGATACTTGTCTTTCTCTAATTGGCTAATTTCACTTAGCATAATACCCTCCAGTTCCATCCACGTAGTTGCAAATGGCAAGATTTCATTCTTTTTGATTCCCGAGTAATACTCCATTGTATATATGTATATACCACATCTTCTTTATCCATTCACCCATCGGTGCACATTTGGGCTCTTTCCACAGCTTGGCTATTGTGGATAGTGCGGCTATAAACATTCTCATGCAAGCAATTTTAATTCATCCAACAACTATATGCTACTAAGGTGACAACTGTCAGAATCTGAGACCTCACCTTTTTGGCATCTCATGACATCTGATAACACCTTGGTGAAGGACGGTAAGGTGAGCGTTGCTTTTCCCGTGTTAATAACAGGCAGTTGAAGCTCTCTGCGGTTAATCCCTTGGTGACTAAATCAGGAACAAGATTCAAGGCTTTGCTTTTCCAGTTCGGAACCTGTCATTCAGCCTGGGCAGGAAGCAGTACGCTCGCTTCTCCTGCAGGCCCCGGGTCTGTGAGCGAATGCTGCGGTTAGCGGTGCTGCTCCTCGACTTGCTCGAGGGGCTGGGGCCCTGGGTGATCTGACACGCTTCCTCCTCACCTCCTGTACATCCCCCTCTACTCTCTCCATGGAGCGACAGTCCGGCATTTGCTATTTCAACTTTCTGCATGTATTGGGAGAGGGGACATGCTTCTGGGTCACGTTTGATCTAGACCACGGTTTCCTACGTGCTGATCCTTCCCTCTGGGTGTATTTTTCTCCACACTGAAGTCAGTGAACTTAGAATTGTATTCTCTGTAAAGCTCATCCTGACTGCTACACATGAATCTAAAGTAATATTATCAAGTTTTGGGAAGAAAGACAATTTGACTGGAACACAAAAATCGTTATAAAAGTAATACTTGTTTAGGCACAATGGGAAGCTTGGATGATGCAGGACAGAGTGAAAAGTAAGGAAAAAGGAAACCTCCGTAAGGGCCCCCCTGGGGGTAATCCGCCGGTGTCTTTCGGGCCTGCTGCACCTGCCAGGGCTAAGGCCATGGGTGCCTCGGGTCTGCATCGTGCTGCCCCTGCCCTGTGAACTCCCGGATCCTGCCCAACTGCACAGCTGCGTGACTATGACTTTTCGTGATGAGTCGCCACACCGTAAACGAGCTGCCTTCTAGTGAGCTAGACATTAAGAGATTTGCTAAAACTGTAAACGAGTGCCACTCTCTACACTGAATGTTTTTGTCTTGGAAAATGTAATTGTTTTTCAAGCAGTATCTCGTTGATGTTAATGTTTTTGTGTAAACAGATCAATGAGAAATGTTTTTTACGGTTTTGAGTTTTAATTTCAAATAGGTAAATATCATGAGGTAGACTCCTGTAAACAAAAAGTCTTTGCTGTCCTCAGTCACTTTTGAGAGTTTAGGGCTGCAGAGACCAGAAGGCTTGGAAACTGCAGGTCTGGAATAGCCCCTTGCTTTTTTCGTTCTTCGGGGCGTTGGCTCGTTGTGAAGCCAGTGTGTCCCATGGTTTCCTCACGAGATTCCAGTTTAGCGATTCTGGGAGAGCACCTTCCGGCGCACCCCACCCGGAGCTGTGATGTCAGGCTGCCCCGCGCCTTGTCGGACCCTTTGCTTGACCTGGGGCTGGGCTCGTTGCAGGGACGGAAGTGCACTTTGGAAGGAGTGAGTGAGCTGCCGGTAGAGATTTTGAGGCTTCCGGTTTCCTGTCATTGGTAGCTCTTTGAAAAAGTTCTATATTGTTACCGTTAGATGCCAATGCTGTTGATTTTTGTATCTTTTTACCCAGCAACCTTGATGAACCCTCCCATTTTTTTCTAATCCATTTTCTTGGGTTTTCTTGGGTTTTCTGTGTAAACAGATATTTCAGCTATAAAAAAATGGCTGTTTTCTCTCTTCCTTCATCTGTACAGTTTTTATTATCTATTGGACTCATGAATATGTTCAGTATAATTTGGACAGAAGTATTTACAATAGGAATCTTTCTCTAGCTCCTGACTTTTTTTTTTCTTTTTTGGTCTCCTCACCATTGAGTGTCAACATTTATCCCATGTTCTTGGTAGGTAGCTTTTTATCAGTTTAAAAATGTTCTTTTCCTTACTTGCGCAGAGTTTGTATTGTGAAAGATGTTACATTTTATCAAGTTCTTCGTTTATTTGCTTCTGTTGAGATTATCGTATTAAGATTTAATATTCTCCTTTACACTAATAAATTTCCTTTTTTTTTAAATATGAGAATTTATTGTCAAATTGGTTTCCATTCAACACCTAGTGCTCATCCCATCAGATGCCCTCCTCAATGCCCATCACTCACCTTCCCCTCCCTCCCACCCCACTCGTAAATTTCCTAATGGAACATCTGCTGAAGTGATTAACTCTTCTTGCTCACTGTTTTTAAATACACATTGTCACGTTGAATATGTCAGTATTTTATTTAGGGTTAAGTGCCACTGTCTAATAATTTTTCTTTCTCTGTTGCTGAGGTCACTG